GATATCGGGCAGGACAATCTGAGTCATCTTAAGGCTTGACAGCAGAATGAACCCCTGCCAAGCTCGCTCACTGGCTTTTGGCAAGATTCAGTTCTTTATGGGCTGTTGGGCTAAACGCTTCAGTTACTTGCTAGCTGTTGACTAATGGCCACCCTCAGTGTGTTACAACATAGACCTTTCCATAGGCAGCTTGCCTCACAAGAGTGAGAAGAGCCAAACAGAGAGAGAAAGAGAGAAAGCCAGCATTTTCATAATTGTCATAACTTCATCTTGGAAGTGATATCCCATCTCTCTTGCCATATTCTGTTGGTTAGAAGTGACTCACTAGGTCAAGTCCAGCCCGTACTCAAGGGGAGGGGATTAGCCATGTAGTGATAATCAGGAGGGTGGGGACCACTGAGAATCAATTCAGAAGTAGCTACTGCAGTAACTTTTGAATGATTTAACAAATGAAGAATTCCAATTACAATTTTATTTCCAATCAACCTACTACATCTACTGCCAGTTAATCAAAACAGCTGTTCATTCTCTCAGCAAAGATGACAAAGATTGGACATGTCCATGTAGGAAGTCCACAGCTGGTTGTCTGAACTTTTGGCTGCTCTTGAAGACCTTCTAGGCTGGGCTGGCCTCAATGTGCACAGACCAGGCCAAACCTAGAGGATGGCTAGCCATCAAGTTATCACATTGGCCCAGGGTCCTACTCTGTAGTCATAGCCTGATCCTCTCACACAATCTCAAGTAGGCAAAATGGAGTTCAGGCTACATAGTTGAAAAATTATGTATAAAATTACAGCATATATAACGTGGAGAATGGTATTTTCCTCCCTAATCTCCAACCCAGGGCTGGATTGCACTTTATTGGTGGAGAACTAAGTTGCTCTTTCTTTCATTTCTTTTGAAATAGAGAATCAAAAGTTCAAGGGGTCTCTCCAGCTTTCAGAATTTGCAGTCCAGGACTCTATAAGCACTACACAAAATGATACTAATCGCTTAAGGGAGTTCTTTGAAACTAAGTGCTTTATTCCATCCTCAAGGAGAAAGAAATGGAGTCAAAGATTCCCTCTTGCAACAATAGACACCTTCTTCTGCACCCATTTGAAAGGAGAAAATCAAAGAAGTGTTAACTGAGAACTGACACGTGCTTGTGCTGGACTGCCAAAATAAGGTGATAATGAACTTCTGAGTTTTAAAAATGTCTCTTCTTATTATCATGTTTATTCTGTCATGATACATATTTCCTGAACCAAACACAGACACCTAACCCCAGATTTTTCCTTTTTTCTTAAAAGTTAGGAGGTTGATTTTAGGGATAATGAGAATGACTTGAATTGAGTAGGAAAAGACCGTGCAATGGAGGTGATATGCTAAGGGGTTTGGAATCCAGACCTGGGTTTGAATCCAGCTGCTCTGCTCCAAGATCACTGTCTATGCAACCCTGCACAACTGCACTGGCTTTTGTCTCTTTCCTTGTCTGTCTCTCCCACTAGACTATAATAAGGTGCCCTAAGGCAGGGACTCGTTCAGTTCACTGTGGAAACTCAAGGGCCTAACACTGTGTTTGGCATAAAGCGAGACCCCAAATAAACATTTGTTGAATAAATGAACGGATGAAAGATTGGATGGAACCATAGCCATCATTAGGTCTGATCAGTAGTTTAGCAATCTGTGGAGTCAGGGCAGGGCACGATAGTGGAACAGCTCTTGGGCTCTGTATTTGTTGCCTCTGAGACTAGATCTCGATCCATGGGCCTCTGGCAAAGCTGGGTTGGACTTCTGTGATCTCAAATGTATGCATATGTTAGACTCTAGATGAGTTTCTTAGGGCTGCCGTGACTAGGTCTATTCCTTTCTTAAGGGAAGGCCTGGTCTTCTCTCTGTCTGTCTGTCTTCCCCTAGGCCTCCTGCTGGCTCCTTGGCTGATCCCTTCAGCATTAGTTTGTTCAGGTTGCCGTAAAAAGCATCACAAACTGAGTGTCTTAAACAAAAGAGACGTATTGTCCCTTAGTTCTGGAGCCTAGAAGTCCAAGATCAAGGTGTTGGCAGGTTTGGTTCCTTCTGCCGGCTCTGAGGGAAGGATCTGTTCGGGCTCTCTCCTTGGCTTGTAGGTAGCATCTTCACACTGTCTTCTCTCCATACTTGTCTACGTCCAAATTTCTCCCTTTAATAAGGACAGCAGTCATACTGTATTAGGGGCCCCCTTGCTCTAGAAGTACATCTGCAAATATCACAATCTGAGGTATGAGCGGCTAGGACTTGAACATAGGAATTTTGAGGAGATATAATTTGCCCATAACAGGGTCAGTGGTGGGTTGAATAATATCCCTCCAAAATTCATGTCTCCCCAGAATCTGAACTTATGTGGAATTACATGCAAATGTAATTAGTTGGAACTGTGAGACAATAACCTTCTGTTGTTTATGCCCGCAGTTTGTGATACTGTGTTACAGCAGCCCTGGAAAACTAACGCAGGCTCCAACATGTGCCTATGGTTTAGATCAGAGAAGCTCAACACAGCCTTACCAGAGGTCCGTGGAGTAAGGTCCAGTCCTAGAGAAACAGAACATTGGAACCTGGTTCCATAGTCAGGGCTTAAAGATTGAGTGTCAGACCCAGGAGGAGAACAGTGACTAAGGGTCAAAAGTGTGGCTCTGGAGTTGGAGTGCCATGTGTAAATGTCTTAACTCTACTACTTATGAAGTCGATGACCCTGAGAGAATGCTAGAGCCCCTTGTGTTCAATCCCATGCCTAGTGAGGATAACAGCCCCTCCCTCCAATGAGCAGAGGAAGGAAAAAAAGAGATAACGTGTGTAAAGTGCTTAGCAAGCACCCGGCTCAAAGTAAACAAGGAATATGCAGGGAACTAGAAACCTGCTCCACGTGGAGTGGCCATAGTGGAGATGTTTAATAGGGGCCTGTAGTGTGATGCCCACATGGACCTCCCAGGCTCGGGCACTCCTGCACCACAGGCAGAAGGACACTAGGCTCTCTCCAGGCCCCGACAGGGTGGGGAAGGAACCCTTGATACCAGTAAGTGGGTCAGGCTTTTCTAGCTGCGTTGGCAGGAGGCAGAGTAGGGCCAGGTGTGGGCCAAGTCCTCAGGAAGCTGTCACATTTTCTGCTTCTGGGGAAGGCAGGAGAGGTGCCAGCCTTCTCCTTACTCAACTCTCCACCCTCAACCAAGCAATGGAAGAGTGAACGGCCCCAACCCTTGCAAAACCAAAATAATCCTTTGCTAAATTCATAGACCTTGTTTTATTCATTTGTTTGTTTTATAAACTCCCAGGACGCTCTGTTTCCACGCACCTCTTCTAATAAAGGCAAATACCATCTCCACAGCAATGATTGGCCCAGGGTTGAGTCCCTTGATCAGAGAGCATTTTGTCTTAGACGAGATGGGGTCCAACTTTGTCTAGTCCATGTAAATTAAACTCCCCTCTCCACTGAGCCCTGGGATAGTCCAGTGATTCTCCAGGAAGCCTCTTTTAATAAGCAGGTGCTCATTTGTTTACTTTACTTCATCATTTCTTATTCCCTTTTTTTTTTTTGGCCTTATTTCCCTGGAGTTTTCTTCAATGCTACAGCTCCCGACTCCATTAAGAAGACTTCAGGGAATATAGAAAATTACTTGAGAGGATAAGAGGGTTTGGCACCAAATTTTACTTTTTGAGAAATTTAGCTAACCACAAATCCCCCACTCAGCTGCGCCATAAACAAGTTTAAATTCCTTCCACACTCGACAGCCTTTGTCACCACCGCAGATGAGCTCTTCAAGGAAAGATGGCGAGAGGTGTCATGAGGCTCCTCACTCACCCCTGGAAAAAATGATTCGGAATGAGAAACTCATCCCAGGGAAGTCATGTGGCTCTCTCAAGGGCCCTGAAGTCAGAGTCAAAACAACCTCACCCCATACGCTGCAGTCCTGTTGGCCTGCCATTCTAAACCAGGGTCATGACAGAAAATGAGGATTAGCATTCCAGGTCTGCAATCTCTGCAGAAGCCAGTCTCTCTGCCTATACAGCAGAACGAGGAAGCCCGGGCTTCCTGAGACCCACTGGCTTCAATCCAGGGCACTGGGGGGTGGTACCTTGTCATCCTAGTCACAGTAATAATCTTGATAATGATACTAAGCTTTACGCATTTACTTACTGAAACCTATGGTGTGTCAGAGACTGTGCAAATTGTTTTGCATATGTTTTCTTAAATGCCATGCAATCTCTGCAGAGTTGCTATTATTATGACCACTTTACAGACAGAGAAACTGAACTTGTCCAAGGTCACATAGCTGCATTGATCAGAGGTCCATCCCAGGCCTGTTCAGCTTACAGACCCATGATCCACAAGCTGCCGTTTCTTTGGAAGGCAGTAAAGGAGGGTGGTTTGTGCTCAGATCTGGGGCCAGATGGCTGGTGGCCTTTGAATACCTAGTCCTCTGGTCACTTGCTATATGACATTGGACAAGCCATTAAATTCTGTTTCTCCATGTCCTCATCTACAAAATGGGCAGTCATTTGTTCATGCCTCCTACAACCATTTAGTGAGTGCCTGCTATATGCCAGGTGCTGAAAATACAGCAGAGAACCATCCCTGAACTCTGCCGCCTGGGATTGGGAGAAATGGGGAAAATGAACAAATTCATAAGTGAGCTATATTGCACATTATGTAGCTGTTAGGGTTATGGGGGAAATAAAGCAGGGAAGAGGGATTGGAATTCAGGGGTAGGAATAAAGGAGTGGTCCCATTTTATAGACAGCATCTGTTGAAGGCTCACTGATAGGGTGAGCAAAGACCTGAAGGAGATACGGAAGTAAATCATGCAGACAGTTGTGGGAACAGCATTTCACACTGATGGAAGAGCAAATGCAGAGGAGCATACCTGGCACATTTGAAAAGAGTGAGGGAGGAGACAGTGTGACTGAGGCTGAGTGAGCAAGGGAAGAGGGGGTGAAGATGGATTCAGAGACGGGGGCAAGATTGTTCAGGGCCTGCGGTCCTTTAAACCTGGTTTTCACTCTGAGTAACATGAGGAACTCCTGGAGGGTTTGAAAAGTTGACTGAAAGGATGTGACTTCTATTTTCAAAGTTCCCCTCTGGCCCTTAGGTGGAGCATGGACGATAGGACAGTGAGCTCAGAAGTGGGTGACAGGAGCGAGGAGGTTGCAATCGTAATTCAAGAAAGAGATGGCGGTGGCTTGGGTGAAGGAGATGTGGTAGCTGGGGAGGAGGGGTGGAATGGTCAAATTCTGGATGGAATATGACTAATAATGGACTGCACTTCATAGAATTCTTGTTGCAAGGAGTAAATGAGTTAACACAGATAAAGCATTTCCAATACTGTCCTAAGTAAGTGTTAATGGTGTTTCTCCTTATTGATAGAAATACCGTCATTGATGATAACACACTATGAAATTGTTCTTGTAATTGTAACCAATAGTTTCCCTTCTTCCTTCCTTCCTCTCTTCTTGCCTTTCCTCTTTCCTTAATTCCTTCTCCCTTCCTTCCTTCTTTCTCTCCTTTTTCTTCCCTCTCCCCCACCCCCTCACGTATTCATGTATCCCATTCAAGGACAGATTATTATAATGGTTCACCATGTGAGGTCTGGAATCATACAGATTTGGATTTAAAGCCTGGATATGCCATTTAACAGCTGTGTTACCTTGAGTAAGATTAAGAATCTCAAATTCTCTGAGACTTGGTCTCTTATCCTTAAAGTAGGCATAACAATGGTACCGACTGCAGGAAGTAGATTTGAAGATTGAGTTAATTTGTGTAAAACTCTTTCTCTAGTGCCTGGTGCTGTAAATTCTCAGTAAAAGCTGGTTTTTATTATTTATTGTATTATCGAATCTGTATTAGCAGCTAATAAGCATTGTGTTATATGTAGAGGGTATAAAGATATATTTCCATAATCCCAGTCCTCTAACTGCTTTGATCCAAAGGAAGCATCCCCGGAAAGCAGTCCTGGGAAGTAGCATAGAGTAGTAACAGATTAATCTTACAGAACAGCATAGCAGAGGACAAGATGCTGTGCTGCTAGGGCACTATCCAGTGGTACCTAATCCAGCCCAAGAATTCAAGGGAGGCCTCCTGGAGGAGGTGCTATTTAAACTCAACCCTAAGGGATTAGTAGAAGTGAGCCAGGAAAGTTGGAAGCTGGGAGAGGTTTCCAGCAACTTTTTGGCAAAGGAAGCAAGATGAGCAAAGATCTTGAGGCGGGATACAGCATGACCCAGTCAGAACCGCTGGCTGTTCTGAGAGCAGTAGAGAATCCCTCTGCTGATCAGGTATTTGTTAAACTGGTGAAATGAAGGGAACATTTGGAAATTATGAAGCTGAATTTCTTCCTTCACAATTATTCTATTTGGGTAGATTCGAGTTTCAGAAGGAACTAATGATTATAGCACCTGTCTTAGCTAATGTCCAAATAATGATGTCAGTCACGGGGAAGGAAAAACAAATTCACCACCCTCCCCCATAAACACCTCCTCTTCCTGGGCCCCACTCCTCTCCCCAACGGTCTTCCTAATAGCATCAGTATCATCACCCAGCAGTGAAACTCAGTCTCTTTTCCACTTCCTCCTCTGCATCCTCTACCCTTCCTGCCCCACAAGGGCACACACACACACACACACACATCCCCACAAGCAATCACACACAGCTTCATTTAACTATTGTGTCAATTCCACCTCCATGACATCTCCTGTCTTTTTCCTGTCCTTTCTGATCCCACCGCCATGCTCCATGTTTAAGACATCAGTCAACTAGATTGTTGCAGTAGCTCCACAATTCATCTTCCAGTCCCTTCTGCTCCTAGGACAGGTCAGTGGTTAGAAGACCATTGCTATCAGATTAATCTTTAAAGCAGAGGTCAGCAAACATACTCTCTAAAGGGCCATATAGTAAATATCTTATGTTTTGTGGGCCATAGGATCTGCGTTGCAATGACTCAACTCTGCCATTTAGTGCAAAATCAGCCATAGAGGGGATATAAAGGAATGGGTGCGGCTGTGTGTTAATGACAATTTACTTACTAAGACAGGCAGAGGCCAGATTTGACCCTGTTTTACAGCAAAACTCTTAGCTTCACCTCACAACTGCTTCCCATATCTTTCAGAATAATGTCTTTAGCCTCAAATTAAACAGCTCATCTAGTGCTTCAAACTCTCTCCTCTCCTCATGGGTCTCAAACTTCCGGCCCCACTAAATATTCCCCATCTTCTGAACATGCTTAATTTTCTGTCTAATTTTGGTGCCCTTCCTTCAAAATTGGCTTGTTAAAATCTTGTTGATCTTTCAGGGCCATTTTTGACACTGGATCCATCTCCCAAGGGTCTTTTTCACAGTGAGAGTTCATCCCAGATGGTCAACTAGAAACTATTGGGCATCAATATTTTAGCTGGTAGGCCTCTGTGGGGAAGAAATTTTGTCACCTTGAATAAGACACTACCACTCCTGCTCTTGTCTGAAAATTCTTTGATATACCTCCTATTGAGAATCAGGGTCTATGACCACTCCTCTTGAATCTGGACAGGCTCTGCGATTACTGTGACCACAGAACATGGCAAAAGTGAGTCTGTGTCAGTGTCCAGACCCAGGCTTAAGAGACTGGAATCTTCTTCTTTCTGCCATTTGGAACCCTCTCCCTGGAAGCCCTAGGCAGCCATATAAAGAGTCTGACTATTCTGAGACCATCCATCATCATACTGAAGATGCTGGATGTTGGCGCTCAGGTCAATAGTATTAGCTTAACCCAGCCACACTTGTCAAGGCACTAGATATGTGAATAAAGTCATCTTGGGTCACCCACACTGGCCCATCCACCAGTCAAGTACCTGTATGACCTCTGTTATCACCACATGGAACTGAAGAATCATCCAACCAAGCCAGTCCAAATTCCTCACCCACAAAATCAGGAGGTAAAACAAAATGGTTGTTTTTGTAAGCCATTGTGTTTGGGGCTAGTTTGTAATGCAGCAATAAATGAGCAGAAGCTAGGCTTCTGGGTTAGCCTCTTTCTTCTCCTTAAGTCTTCCCAAGTCAAGAGACTCTCCGCATTCTCATTGATTTTGCAGCTGTTCTTCCTACTGCCTGGAATGCTCTTCTAGTGTTATTATTTCCTTGTATTCTTTACTTTTTGGCCTATGAAAATCCTCACTTTATTTTTACAGATCCATGTGTAACATCACTTCCCCTGTGAAGCGTTTTCTGATTTCTCCCAGCAATTATTCACCAATTCTTTGACATTCTCCCAGCACATGGTTTATAAGTTCGTCATGGTAGTGGTCGCCTGGTTTGGTGAATTTTTTTTTTAACGTGGCTGCCTTCCCCAGTGGGCTATGATCTCCTCAGAGGCACACACCATGACTTACTCATCTACACAGCTCTGTCTTTGGTATGGTTGCTGACAGTTAGTAGCCACTTACTAAACAATTATTGAATGAATGAATGCAAAAGCTGGTATTTGCACTCTGATAGTTGACATGTTAGACAAAAATGTTGAAGGAAATCTTCTCATTTACTGACAAATCTAATTCAAACTTTCCCATTCCTCATCCCAAAGGAAAAGATCAATAAGTTTAGCTTATTTCCAGCATATAACAACGTATGTCAGGAACAAAGATTGAAGCTAGGCTTTGCTGTGAGCACAAGTAAACCCTAAATCTCACAGGTTTAGGATGGCAAAGATTCATTCCTCATTCATGTCCCAGTTCAACACAGATTCGGCAGCTCTCCTGAGCAGATACCCTCCAATGATGACTCGGGAATTCAGGCTTCTCTCGTAGAATTCTGCCAATGTTGGAGTTCTTTCCTTGTAGGCAAGCAGAAAGGAGAAACGGGCTGTGGAGAAGATGCACCACTTTTAATTGCTTGAGACAGACTGAGACATAACTTCTGCGCACATTCCAGTTGGCTGGCACTTAATTACATGATCTTCACCTAAATACCAAAAGGACCAGAAAAGGTAGTCTTTCTGTGCAATCCAGAAAGAGGAAAGAGTATGGCAAATACATATTGTCTCTGTTACAGAGATTGTATTAGTTAGCTTTTGACAAGCGACAAAAAATATCAAAACCTAATGGCTTAAAAGAATCATTTATTTTTGTCTTACTGTTATGTGAGTCAGCTGAGTGACCCTTCAGCTCTGGGATGCATCAGCTAGGACTTGATGGTCTAGAACAGTAGTTCTTAACTGGAGACAACTTATACCCATCGCAATCACCTCCAGAGGACACTCGACAATGTCTGGATATATTTTTTGCTGTCACAACTGGGGGATTTTATTGGCATTTAGTGGATAAAGGCCAGAGATGCTGCTGAACATCCTACAATACGTAGGCCAAGCCCCTACAACAAAGAACCTTCTGGTCACAAAAGTTAATAGTAGCGAGGTTGAGAAACCTCGGTCTAGAATGACCTACCTCAGAAGGTACAGGCTGCTCAATCCAAAGAGAACTCAGCTGAGATGGCTTAACTCCCTTCTGTGGGGTCTTCCATCTTCCAGTAAGGTGGCAAAGTCTTCTTTACCTGGAGGTTTCAGGATTCTAACGAGTAGTAAGAGAGAACAAGTTGCAATACCAAACACTCTGAAGTCACTGCTTGGGTCTGTTTGTTAATGTCTCATTGTCCAAAACACTTTATCTCCTGAGGGGAAAAGCTGAAAACGTGGCCATTTTTGCAATCTAAACAAAGATCTTGTGTGGAATTTGGGTTGTATCTCTAGCGTATACTCTCAATCTCTGTTTAATAAATACTTGTGATAATTCAGTGCATTACAACAACGTGTATTTGTGAGTTTCTCTTTTCACAGAACATTCACAGTGATTTCTGGTGATTCGGACTGTGGGCTCTGGCGTCGAACTGCCTGAGTTTGGATCCCAGCTCGGTCACTTCCTACTGAACATAGGGTAATTAGCATAATCTCTCGGTACTTCTATTTCCTCATCTGTAAACCAGGAATAATAATAACAGTAAGTCCAAAAAGGGCTTTTGGGAAAATGTAGTGATATAATACATGTACAATGACTCTCCAGAATATAGAAAGCGTTCAATAAATTGCACTTAATTACTAGTAGGCAGTGCTGTTTCTCTGACTCAGAAAGGGGACACACATGGGTTCTAAGTCCTCTGTTCAGGTGGCAGGACTTTGTTTTTCCTTTTCTCCTGCTTTTCCCCAGATCACAGATAAAGAAGTGGCAATGACAACTCTCTATTTTTAGCTTCTCACGAGGCAAGTGCTGAGCCAGTACAATGATTCTCATTTAAGTCCTTTGCAATTTGGAGAAGAGAAGACTAAAAGGCACCTGTAGGCACCATCAACCATGTGAAAGCCAGTCAAGTGGAATGGGATTAGCTGTGTGCTTTGTCACTTTGGACAACAGAACAGATCTGTTGGATGGGAGTTGTAGGGAGTCTAAATTTTATTGAAGGTAAAAAGAAACAATTCACTGAATGTAGGAAAGAGCAATCAGGGTGTCAAAGTCTGGATGAGCTGCTCTTATGTCTTAAGTTGGTTTCTCCAAAGCAGCCCCTGATATGATGATGTAAATGAAAGTGAATCAGAGAAGTGGGAAATAGGATGAGGAAGGAAGGGAGACCAAGGAAGAATACGATATCAAGTATGGGATATCAACCCTTGGAAGGTGACTTCGGTTCAATCCCACAAGGTAGCCTTCATTCATTAAGTCCTGGGGATGACATACATTCCCAGACACTTCTGGCTCTTTATGCTTTTGGACCTGTAGGCAGAGAGTAGCCTGAGGACAGCCCTCCAATTGCTGTTCTTGGGAGCAGAAGCTCACCAGAAGCTGGTGGGCACAAAAATGGTAAAAGGGATCCAAGGGAATAGAGGTGGAACACTGACATCACCTGCTGAGCTTCATCTATAGTGACTTTTCATTTTTGGAGAGATCCAAGCAGAGGTTGACAACCAAAGATATGGTTTCTCAAGACCTATTTTGACTCTGAGAGTCATTGAACAAAGGCTTTCCTTAGAATAATATGTTACCATTGCTTGGTTTCATTTGGCTTCCTCTAAAAACAACGCACCTGGAGAAAATCTTCCCCCAAATATGTAAGCCTAGTCTCCAATTGACCTATGTTGGCCAGGCCTTCTCCGTGATTACTCAGCAGACTCTGGCTTCAGATAGACTTAGTTTCTCATTGCTGATGTACCCTCTTTTGGTTGAAGAACCTTGGGCAAATTATCTAACATCCCTGTTCTTCACTTGGAGCCAATGATACTTACCTCTTTGGTCTAATATCAAGACTTCTATACCTGGTTCACAGTAGGTGTTTCTATAAATACTGTCATTCATGCATTCTTTATTCCTAATACGAGACAGCGGAAATTAAGGCAGGGAAATTAAGTTGCATCTCAAGTCACCTGGAGAGAATGGAGTTTATTCCTGTTCTACTGGCATTTCTGTAGCACAATTTCTAATATATCATTTTATATGGAAAATGAGATAATGCCAGATAGAGCATGAGAAAACAATAGACCCAAAGTCAGTGTCACTGTTGGCTGCTGTTGTTGTTGTCATGCACATCTTCTATTTCCTACCTACTGGACCTTCAGAAATTTCTTATGCTCTCTGTGCCTCAGTTCTCTCTGCTATAAAACATGAGAATCAGGCTAACTGGACGTAAAGTTCCTTCTGGTTCTAACTGCTTATGAGTCCAGGAGGCTAAGATGGGAAGAAAGCATGTGAGGCCTAGAAGTCTAAGTGTAGCGATGTGAATGGAGTCCCGCTTACTCGAGAGGCAGAGAGCCTCTGACACCCATGGGTTGACGTGGTAAGACTTAGCCTGTCTACCGATGCAATTTGTCTTATCTGATTGCTCGTTAGCTTTAGAATTTATTTATTTGTTTCTTTTTAAGGTTATTTCCAATCCAGAGGTTTGGAAATTCGGAAACAATTCACAAAATCATAATTCTAATGCAGATTACCTGAGAGGCACTGAGTATATGAGGGAGGAAAAGCAGCCACAAATCAAGGAGAATCTTGTGCAGTAGCTGGTCTGCCCACCAGCACTGGGAGGTTACAAAGCCACAATGGAATACCTCTGTGAAATACTTCACTGAATTACCCTGTTGGGTACCCCTTATTAAGCAAGCTGCTTCAGAAAGTTCTTTTTTTTTCCAGGGCTGGCAAAGTCTCACAATTTCATTATGCTGGGGGGCTTGGTTGCTGTCTCTTTTAAGAGATTTGTCTGTCTGGCAAGCGGCCTGAATTACCTTCCTTGTTGGGCCTTGATAAGTGTCTCTGAACGAAAGGAAAACAATTTGTACAACTCTTCCAGTCAATTGGAGGCTGAACTGTGAGACTGAGCAAAGCTCTCTTCCATCCCACGGTGCCAATTTGCCCTTATCAAGTGCAACAGAGAAAATGTGGCGGCGCGTTACCCTGAGAATAGGAAAGCACTCCTAACAAAATGAGAAAACAGTTATTGGACCAGTTTTATCAACCCCGAGCTGGATCTGCAGCAATTTTCATACAATTATGCCAGGTTAGAGTCTCCTCACCATATGGCTGGGCATTGATCATTTTGCTACGATGCTAATTTAATACATAGTGTGGACGTTTGCTTGTTTTGTTAATAAAATTTTCATTTTGGTGTTCTAATTCTATCATAGAATGTGTGAACATGGACAGTTTTGTTAATAATAATTGTTGATATTTGTAAATTAAAATCTCTTTCACAAACCTCATGCTGTTTGAACTTTTGTAAGAGACTTGGAGAAGCTCCAGCTGGCATTCTTGAGTCCCCTGTACAGAAAGACTGACTGAGGTTGAGAAGTTCTAAATTTGCCCCAAGGTCAAACCAGTGGTAGCTGTCAGATTAGGGTTTAGTCCAGATTTTTCCAGTGAGATATCCTTTCTACGCTGGGATACTGGACTTCCTTTAATAGACTTACTTATAGGAATCCCGTTGTGATATATTCAAGACCTCTCCCAACCTACTAGGGAAATGTAGGTGTAATCAACGAGTGAATGCCCCCTCCCATGTTGGAAGATCTGAGAGGCAAAGTACGGATTCTAGAGGCCAGAGGCCAGCTCAGGTAGGCATGAGAAAGCCAACGATGAAACATAAGAGTCATAGAAAAGGCTGAAAAGGACTTCTGAGATGCTCTAATTTTGAAGCTGTTTCCCAGAACCTCTAAGATTCTGTGCAGGCATTTCAGAACCCATTGTGGGGGCCAAAAGAGAGGGTTTGGGGCTTTCTACCCTCTCCCTCAGCTGTAGCAGTCCTCGCTGTCCCCTGGTTTCAGATATAGGACTTCAAAGAACATTTTCCTTTGGTAGGAAGGTCCACCATGGAACAAAATGTTTGAAACAGCTGGTCTAATCCAACGCACTCTCTTTCTGCAGGTGCGGAAGCCAGCCCTAGAGCGGCTATGGGTCCGAGAGGAATCTGTGGCCTGCAGGAACCAGACCCACATCCCATCTCCTGATTCCCACTTCTGTGCTCCATTGCCAGTGGGCTCAACCGATTAACACAAAGACTGAATATCTCAATACCCTTAACATTTAGACTCACATTAACTCTGCACTGCAGACCACATTTGGAGGCTCGAGGAGTAGCATTGTTGGGGAATATTCAGTTCATAGGGAAACAAGAATTTTGGACTTGTAGAGAGAAATGTCTAAGTATCAAGTAATGCTCTAAGGACTTTTTCTTCATTAACATTTTGTTATTAATTAATTTTAAATTATCATTCTATGATTAATTTCCATGCTTTCTTTCCAGTCCCACTGTCCAGCGTCACGTCTTAACTGGTCTCTCTGCCCTCTATCTTACCCACATCAAATTCATCTTACACACAATTACCAAAAATATCTTTCTAACATGCTAATCTGATCATGTTACTTTCTTTCTTGAAAACCGCTTCTTCTTTGATGTGGTGACATCCTAAAATCCCAGTTGTACTACAGAACGTCTCTCCCTCCACTACACCTGTTATGACCTCTCTGGCTTCATCTCCCATTATTAGTCCCCTTGTTCTACAAGTTACAACCACAACCATTTATTTTTTCCTCCACACACTCATCATCGCTTCACACATGGAGCCCCGGGCACATACAGTACCTCTTGTCTGGAAAACCCTAATGGTACTTCTGTACCTGGAAAACTCAAGCTTCAAGATTCATCCTAAGAATTGCCTCTATCAGGGAAACTTTCCTTTTCTTACCTTTATCTAGAAATTGTCACATTCCACCTGTGAATCTGCACCTGGGACTGGATCTCCCATCAGTGAACCTTTCTAGGCCAGGCCGGTATTATACTTTCTCAACCCCCATAATGCCTGACACAGGGCTTGGCACTTGTTAGGTGCTCAATAAACATCTGTTGAACTTAAATGTCTCTATTTCTGATCTCATGTATTAATTAAGGCTCTTTGGTTAAAGGAAATAAAAACCAGCTCATACAAATTCATACCAAAAGGGGGATCCGCTAGGGGTATTTTATAACGTATTAGGGTGGGAAGTTCTTCATGGAGGGTGGAATGCTGGGGGAATGAAGCCCCTTCCTCCATCTCCTTGAGGCCTCAAGCTCTCTGGTCCCTGCTTCTTTCTGGGGGTCTGATGAATTCTTTTATCCTTTCTCTCTGAGGATCAGATTTCTCTGCTTCTGAATACATAAGGAGGGGAATGATCACCATGGCCCTGACTCAATGTACCATCTGAGGTTAGTTTAACTTCTGAGACTCAATTTGAAAGAAGAATCTCTTTCCATCTTTCTGGCCAAGTATTGTCAGAGGGGCGAGCACAGCTGTGAAGACTGGCATGGCGGCTGCACCCACCCATTTGGTTGGGTCTGTTCGAAGAAAATGGGCTGTGGGCTACACACGTATCTCAAGAGTATCTACTCTAAACATGCTATGTGTATCAAGATGAGGCACTCTAGAGCGAGACTGGCATTTCCCACAGTGTTTCCATTAAATGTTAATTCCACAGGGGGATCATAGTTGGTATGAAAAACAGTAATGCTCTAGTCTAATAAATTTTAAAAAAATGCTTAAACAAACATAAACAGGTTTCTTTACTGCAAAACTCCTCCATGACTTTAACATGCAAATGTGATTTGTGAATCGGAAAAAGAGGATATCATTTCTTCATTACTTAAACTTATTTGTCCAGAGGAACATTTTTCCTCCCCAGAAAGATCTTTTAGCATTAAGCTCCTGTAGAATATGCTTGGAGAACACTGGAGTAGTCCAGTGTTAATTATCTCATCCTGTTGGTGGAAGTACATAATAATCAGTATGCTATACTCCACCAATTTACAGTAATGGCATATCCTGGATCGTATTTAGGAGTCTTCACGGGGATATAAATGCCTCTTCCTTCCTCCCAGGGGGCACAGATCGTGATTTCCCCAGTGACCATCCCTCAGGTGGAATTTCAGCCTTAGGCCTAATTAAATGTCTGCTACTGTTTTAACAGATTTCTCTTAGGAGAGGAGTGCTAGTTCTTCTTGAAAAGTTGTTTCAGCAAATAGAAATGAGTTGTGAGAACATAGAAATAGTTATTTACAGAGGCACAACACAATTCATTTATATGATGTCCCCACGTTAATGATTGGTTCAGATCCATTCATCATGTGCTTATTGAGTGTTGGCTTGATTTTAGGCTCCAGGCTGGGCATCATTGATACCGAGATAAATGAGGCCAGGCCCTAACCTGGAGCAGCTCAAATTTTAGTAAAAGAGAAAAATGTGTCAGCAGATAATTTCTGAATGTGATAAATGCCTTGGTAGAAGAAAGTAAGTGATAAAGAGTTAGCAGGGTTTGCTCTGGGGCAGGGTGTAGAAAACAGTCTCCAGAGAAAGTGACACTTATTCTCTGTTTTCATGAAAGGGTAAATGTTCTCGATAAAGATAATAAAAGAAAGATTTTTATGCATGAGTGAGAAGAAAAAAGAGTCAAGGACAGAACCCTGGGTTATAGTAACAATTAAGTGGTTGGCAGAGGAAGTGAATTCAAGTCGAGGACTGAGAAAGAATGTCCAGAAAGTTGGGAGAAGAATTAGGGAAGAGGACGTCCAGGTTGACAGGAGAGAAGAAAGTTTCAAGAAAAAAACAGGGTTAGAGCATCAAATGCTGCTATAGAAAATCCAACAGGATGCCAGAATCATTGGCTTAAGGTTAATATTCTCAACTTTGAGCTTGAGTATATTGGCACCCCCAAAGACAACAATTTGGACTTCCATCAGCTGTTTCCATTATATGCACTCACCCAATGAAAACATCAAATTGACCCATGATAAGGTATTGTAGACTGCTATTACTGAATAAATGCAAACTTTGGTTAACAAAAATATTTGCAAACCTGAAAATGAAGGGAAAGGAAGGATGGAAATCAAAGGGATCCTTGGTGGGTTATATTGTAAACATGCATATTTGACCCCCAAAAAATGCACTTAGAATAACGAGACCTGATGTTCATACTGGATTGTACCACTGAGCAACCTTGCAAACTTAGGAAAGTCATTTCCTTCTCTGGAGCTGAGTCACCTTACAATGAGGAGGTGTAACTAAAAGGTCTCCAAAGAGTCAGAAGTCCTTGTCATGCTTATGTTAAGTGACAAAGACTTTATGCCTGAGAGCCATACAACAATTTCCAGTGCACCCTTTCTCACCCCAGCACAGTTCAAAGAAGACGTAGAATTTCACATGCATTGTAGATATCCTTAGGCAACCCTGAACCTAGGAGTCCCTGTGAGAGCCTCTGACTAGAGGCATCAGCTAAGCCACACTCAAATTCCTGACCCATGGAAACTGTAAGATAGTGAATGTTTGTTGTTTTAAGCTGCTAAATTTGGGGATAAGTTGCTACACAGTAATAGACAACTAATACACATGTTCCCCATACAATGACTGACTTAAAACATCTGCAAATTAACTTACTTTTTTACGTAAGTATATTTATTTAAGCAGAAAACTTTATATTACAAGTGTAAGAGAATGCTATCAATTTCCATAAATAGAAGGTTAAAATCATCCCATTTACTATCCACCTTGAGGGATACTAGCTCACTGAAAGACTGGAGGTATGTCAGACGCCCTAGTTTGAATTGAATATTCATTTCTTGTTAGCTGTGTGATATCAGAAATGTTCCCTTATGTTCTGAGACTTAGTTTCTTCATCTGTACAAGAGAAAATTTATCTCTATCTTTTAAGAATTTTTTGAGGATTAAAAAGCGAATTACTGTGAAAGCATCCAATGATGAAGATGATTGTGATGATGATGATGATGATTGCCAAATTTTTTTTATCCCTAAGCATGCACTAAGCACTGGGTTAAATGATTTCATATTCCCCCAAACCTTCTGATATCATTATAGACATTTTGCCACCCAACAAACTCTTCTGGAGAGGTTGAGTGACTTTGTTTGAGATCATACAGCAGGTGCAATGACAGAATAAGAATTCAAACGCAAATCATTTTCATGACAAAGCTCCTACTCTTCGCCATAATGGATTACAGACTGCATACAGTTAGATATACATACGCAGCCAGTGTTGGTTCCCTTCTCTTGCTTAAGAATGAAACTTTTCAGTCATCCTGTTTCCTACCTTAAAGTAATATCAAACGCTTGTTTTCCTCAGCCGGTTTCAACTCCATCTCTCTGATCATCCATAGTTTTCTAACAGAGCAGTGGTCAGGACCCCATTTTTCTAGGTTCACAGCAGCTCGTCAAACATCTTCCAGGGTCGATTGGAGCTGCCAGTAGTAATGACAAAATCCATGCCTTCAATTTCTTAATTAACTAAATACAATGAAGTCTGTAAATTGATCAAAGCAGGGTCTCACATGGAATTAATTAGGAAATTGTGGCGAGCACCTGTGGATTAATTCAGACTTTATAAATCTATTGGGAATTTTATGGAAGCCCAAAATAAAACACAGTTGTATTAAAAAATTAATTTAAAATGTGGTATCCACTTCAGCCTTTTCTGTTGGGAGCATGCAGCATCCCGGCTTCAGGATGCTGAGTTAGAGGCCCCTCTGTGGCATTCTGGGGTAACACTGAGTGTTGAAAAATGCCCGGGAGGGGGGTGCCATGAGTGGGCAGGTGGAGGCTTTTTATAAACTCGATTAGCACCCCTCCCCAGCAGATGCCTCCAAACATTACTACTGACGCTATCAGTTCATGTCAACAGTGTCATTTCTCCTCTATCTTATAGGAAGTATAAACAAAAACATTCTTAGCAGACTTCGCAGTATTTTTGACCTGTTACCAACCAATATGCAAAACCAAGATGCTTAATATAGCTCCAGAAAAGTCCTACCCAAGCTTCTGTACTCAAGCCCATCTATATGGAAATTCTGGGGCCTCCTCTCTACATAAACCAAGCATTCATTGGTTTCATTCATTCAGAAAGCATCTGTATACACCCATTAGACGCAAGGAACCGCACGTGGCGCTGGTGGAAGACTAATGGGTAAGCAACCTGCCTTTGCCTTCAAGGAGCACCCAGGTGAGCGGAGAATATGGACGTGCATGACAAGTTCAGGGAAATGAGTTTGAGGGTAGGAACAGCGACTGTGTGTGAAGCAGTAGCAACAGGTCAAAAAATGAGGTAATTTCTACCCGGGGGGCTGAGACGTCACTGAGGAGCTAACACTTGAGCTGAGCTGTGAAAGAGGAGAGACTGTCACCAGCAAACCTGAGGGAGCAGCATGCACCTGGAGGGCTCTGAGAGCAGGCCACACCTCACACATCAAGGGCACTGTGAGGGGTCCACCAAGGCTGCAGCACTTTATGTTTCTGGGTCCTGACACGTTGGAGGTGATAACTGTTCCGTAATAGCACTTCTGTTGCATTGGCTCCGCCAGAATCTTTGTGACAGTGAATTAAAAATGCAATTAGTGAAAAAAGAAATGCAATTAGCTATTTTACGTTGTGTTCATATATGCAAATTAGAGAGGAGACTTGATGTAATTATGTAGAAAACAGAGGTTAATAAATGCCAATTTGAGCCATAATTATCTGTACATTCCTGGAGAAGGGTGATTTGGAGTCTGCATTAAGGGGAGGAGGGAGGAAGGTTGGTGCGTGAGCCTCTGATCTGTGCGCTCTACCTCCCACTTCCGACTGCCTCCTCCGACCATTTTGCCGGAAGAGTCATATCATCCCCGTTTACAGATGGGACATCAAGACCAAGAAAGTGAAATCGTGTGTTGAAATTCTCACAGCCAGTGCCTGATCAGCCTGGAATGTACCCGATTTGGTCTGACTCTTAAATTCATGCTTCTTCCTTTTTCCCTCACTTTGTTTCATTATTATTTGAGTTTTTCATGATTTCAGGTAGAGATAGTTGGACTCAAATGCTAAC